CATAATTACTCAAAGAAAACGATAATGTACTTAAACAATGTATAAACTTTTATTTCTTTACAAATATCGTCGAATTATTAAGCCTTTTGAGCGGTAAAACACTGTGGTGTATTAAAACCAAAAACCAAAACGTTGTTTACACGTTGTCGTCCTATTTACCGCGGGCTTGCCTCTCATCTCAGTCAGTACTTTATGTAAGTCTGTTATCGTATCGAAAGTTCTAATAACGTCTGAAATCATACCAACACAGCTACTTATGGAACACAACACACGATCGCATTACCGGTGTTTCATCCCTTCTATTAATATCTATTACCCTCGCCTTCCACTCATGCCCACAATCCCTGCTGTTATTTTCGTTGGAACATCATGTAATATTTTCGTTTTGTCAATTTATTCGCCATGTTTGAACAATAATTTGAAGCAGTGTTTCTGAGCATATATAAGCGTCCTGTTTGAAGACTTTGAAACTATTCACTGCAAATACAAGCTCTTATGATTTATGCAAGTAAGTGCAATAATTTAAATATATTACGTTATGATGTTTTATTCATATTACGTTTAATTAATGTTTTATTCATATTCATAACACAGCTCTTAGTTGGACCCCCTGTGGAACCACGTGTAGATTTACAAGAAGAGTCACCTTAATGATATTCAACTGTTTGAAAATTGGACTAGAGTGGGCATCAAATTTAAAGAATGCTATAATACGCACAACCTTTTTTTGGAGTATAATTCAAGGTTTAACGGTTGAGAAATATACATTACCCCATATGATTAAACCATATGTGATAAAATGCTAAATTAAAGCATAATATAAATTTACCAGAATGTTGTATCTACATAATATCTAAGTTTAGACAAAATTCCTACAACTCTTTTAATCTTTTTTTGAAATGAACATAATTTGTTTTTTCCAAGTTAAATGAGAATCGAAAAAACACCAAGATACTTTATGCAATCTAAATAAATTCGAGTATTAAACTGCTATTAAAACATAAATTGTAATCCATGTAAAACGAAACCCTGCTGACTGCTGAGAAATACATGCATATTCTTGCGAAGGCATATAAAACTATAAACTATATGTAGTTTATTACAAACCAGAATGCTGAGCATCCGAAGATTGGAGAAGTCGTGATTGTTCGAGAAGGAAACAAACCAAGGAATACATGGAGAACTGCTGTTGTGACAAGATTAATTATGGGAAAGGACGGAGTTACACGGGGAGCAGTGGTGAAAACATGCAAGGGTACATTGAAGAGAGCCGTCCAACATTTATTTCCCCTTGAATTGTCTTGCGATTTAAACAACAACCCACAACTGAACCCTGATGCCACAGAGTTCCACCCAAGACCAAAGAGAGCCGCTGCAGAAGCTGCGAGAGTTGCTATTAGAGAACTTGCCGGACTAGAGCGATAATCAAAGTTGGTAGTAAAGTTGGAACTGATGACTATAATTACATTACTTTAGTGTTTACATTGCGTTATAAAGTCTGAGAGTGCATGTATGTCTTGGACAGAACATACATGGGGGACAGTGTCGGAGACTTTACCTCAATCTATAGTTAAAATAGTAATAGAACATGTGAACTCCACGCGTGATATATAGTTTTCCTTTAAAGCAGGAATTTTTGTTATTGTGTGAGACTTTGACTGCGAAACCATTGTAAAAAATGTGATACGAGAGTGAGTGATTTGAGATATTACATATAAAAAATACAAATTGTGATTTGTTGGTGATACTTGAAGCGAAATTCCCAACATAGACATAGTCATATAGACATGCCCACAAACCCTATTCTTTATACCTATAACAAAAAGGCTTTACATTAATTACATTTAGCACCCTAATTTTTAAAAAGAGCTATATACACATGACTCTTGTCTATTTCCTGTATAAAAATGTAAAATCGCCTATAAATCGTGGCTAAAAATTTAGATGTATAAACCCCTTCTTGTTGATGTTGTATTACACGATGGTCGGTTGCTATGCAGTTTGCTCCCGGAGTCAAATTGCGATTGTTGTTAGTTCCCGGTCTCCTAGCTGTGATTTAAGGCGTGGTTAAAATACCGCGTTTTAGCGCTCTCATTTGCGTTTACTTTCAAACATTTTTAAAACAATACTAGCCCAATTAATACTTACTTGAACTGTTTAAAGATATTGCAGCGCAAACTAGTCACAGGACAAATGCAAAGCGGTAAATTATGGTGTTATTATGGCCATGTATTTTCGCATTCCGGTCGAAGGATATCCCGCCCACAAGGACAAATTCTACCATCTAGGGGTCACACAGCACCACACGTGTGTGTCCTACAATCCCTCTTTGAAAACTCCCCTGGATTTATAGCATTGCCAGAATTATAAGCGAAAATAGCTGAAAATTCCGCATTTTTCGCTTTATTTTTCACATATTTTTGCTAAAACGTAAATCTGGAGACACTTCCCAAATCAAAGTTGAAGAATACCATTTATTGAAGAACTTCTAATGGTTAGCAGTAACGAAGAAAGGTGAGGAGAAAATATCCTTCGGCAAACTCATTTGTATTATTAGCGTATTCGTGACTTGCCATATTGTTGCTTCACCACCCGCTGTCTTGTCTTCTAACTCGATAGAGTCAAACATGTGATGGAAATAAAGGAAATCCAGCAAAATCCAACAAACAGAGACCACTAGCAGATAGTTTTTGGAAAAAATCTCCGTTCTTTAAGCTCAGCGAAGGCCAAGGAGATCTGTCATGCAAGTCGCGCGAGGTTCATACTGTACTAAGTATAAACTGAGGTTAATTGAGCTTGGCATTGGAACCCAGCTTAATTTACTAAATAGTATAAGCTGTAGAATGGCTGCATATTTATAAGTTGATTGTCAGTTTAATATAATATGTGATATCGAAATATTAAAATTACAACATAGGCCACAAGTTGTAGATTTTTGTTTAAAAGGCAGTCTGATTATATAAACCTATTAACTAATAGTAGCCAACACTTACCGGCCCATTTCAGGGGTAGAATTATCTGGTTTTATAGCCTAGATATCGAAAAAATACAAAAGCAGGGTGTATGCACGATACATCAAGGGCCATAAAATGAGACTGATAGCTGAAACTACTGATTTATCTGCATGTATTCTGGTATTCTCATATTTGTTTACTTCGCCTAGCTCATACTGCGTGCCTTGAGTTAGCTGGTTTCTTTACTTCGATAAAAGCTTATTGTGTGGCTTACACAAGTTTTATTTACATTAATATAACTACAGAAGACTGAGTTATAGGCTAGTTTACAAAAGAAATCAGTTGCACATGCGTTTATTTAAGCTACGATCGGGGAGCCCTCTTCTTGCTAAAGGTCGATATAAAGACAACATGCCTTGGTAATCTGAGTCGTACCATATGATCCTCACGCGAAATTGGAAAACCATCATGAAAAGCGCTTGGAATTGTAACTAAATGATAAAATTAAGTGTGCGCAAAGACATGAAATCTGTTTCTGGAAAAGCTGCGTATCTTAAGGAATTTAAATCACTGGTATACTGTAATACTATTATTTTATGTCGCTACCGATCAGTTGCGCAGCCGATTATAAACTGTAGTATATTTGGCAGGCATATATGAGTGCACTGTAGTTAAATCTGCTATATATATTGTCATCTATACAATGGACGTATGTGTTTATATATCTCAAAATACATCATACACAAATATAAAATGAAAGCGTTTTATAATAGAACATATTCATCAAACAAATTCTTGCGTGAACAGAACTATAGTATAGCTAGATTTCTTGTCGCCAACCAAAACCATATGTTTCTCAGTCAGTATATTACTTTAAATAGATATATACACTGTATTAGTACTAAGTAGCATCAGATAATTTTCCCCCCTACCTACACATACTGCTGAAGAAACACGAATTTAGGCGAAAAGAGGAACAGTTTGTACACTGGTTTGCATTCCGTATTACATATGAAAGATAAACTATTATACAGGAGGTGAATTTGATATATTGTCTAGAGCTATTCGATGGCAGTCCTAATAGATCCGATTGTTATTTGACAGTTAAATAAAATTATCACAATAGTTCCTTTTAAATATTGAAGTATATGAACCAGTTAAAATATACCCAAAAAATTGTTCTAATGTAAGAAATTTAAAGCCAAATACATGACCTTTCCGATCATAAAATAACACGACGCCATTTCGCATTCACACCAACACCGCTGGAAAAAAACGAAGCCCGCACCTCCGGGAGCAAAACACATAGCAACCGACCATTGTGTTAATATTTTGATAAATGTTAGTGTGGTACGATCAATCATAAATTTTGTACCACATTTACTGTTTTACAGACAAAGGTGGCAAGGAGCATGCTTATACATTTATACAAATATCTGTATATTTGTATAAAAACAGGGTGTCAAACAAAACAGCAAACTTAAAATTTCCCAATAAATGAAATCAGCATAACACGAAAAATTTTATGTCTCTGGCTCTTTCGTATTTAGCTGCTTAACTCATTGTCATCTGGTCAGGGGGCATTCAGGGTGCATTCCACCCTGGATATGCTCAGCATCGTTTCGATGGTCACACCAATGCGCCAAAATTACTATAAACTTTTTTGTTTGTTGCACAACATGTCGCATCATGTCAAACATTGTACAAAGAGTTAAATAGCTCCCCACACCCTGCAGACAGACTTTGCCTTTGATGTATTCCTAATTCCTTTGGGTGCATCCCCTTACAATTAATTTTGTAGACTTACTAGACTGGAAAGCTGAGATCTTTATAGTTTCGTTTAACTTTTTTTTGCTTAAACAGGTTATATACTTATATTGACAATTGTGAAATAGCATTAGCAATCGAATACATCTCTGATCATTAAATAGATCCAATGATAACAGGCGACTTAAACTTTCTAATAAATTTCAAATGTAACGAAAGGGTAAAATATGGACTTCAGGATTATCTGTTCATATAGCATTGTCATACATTGTTACAGTTTCAAAGTTTCTTTGAATCATAGGCCAAAAAAGGGCAGTGGCCTAAAAACGAATCTGCACAATCCACCACTTCGGAAACGTCGTATTCTTTTGCTAGAGCGGAAGTGAAAATGTTACTACAATGTTTTCCAACATCATCACCTTCCACATACAATTTTGCACTTTCGCAAATAATTTCTTCACAAAGTTTTAGTGATGGGAGACACCACATTAGCTTCGTTCGTCTTGTTAAGGTTTGATTTAATTGACCTCCAGCTTGTTGAGCTCTCATGATAGCGTAATAGCTTTCGGTAATAGTGTCTGGGGCCCCTTTTGCCAAAACAATATCAATCAAGGCACAAGAAGGTGGTTTGGCAATTGAATAGATCTTTGTGTCTGCATAAAAAGACCTATAAACATATTCTGTTCATGCAAACAAACAACATATTTTCCACCATCCTCGAACTTCATGTTGAAATACGATTCCATTTCTTCATTCTTGACTGGCAAGAAGCTGACTAGTTTCGAATCTTCATCATTCAATGGAACATCATATTTCAGCACGAACCATTGAGGGAAAATTCCATTCCATATACTAGCTTTGACTGCTTCTTTGAATTCATATACCAATGAGCAAGACGAGGGTTGAAATTCATTCCTGATTGAATAATGTGATGCATCTTTGAAGCTGTAGCTAGAACACGTCGACATTGCTCCACACCAAAACTTTCATAATACCCTTCTTGAAATTCATTCCCAACATCCACATTGAAGATTAGCAAGAGTGGCAGTGTCAAACACCTCCAGGATGGAATACACCTCATCTGCCATAACCGTGTTGATTATATTCTCCATGGAATTGATCAGATCTGACGCTAATTTTTCACACCCACGTTTAACATCATCCTCTGTTCTTTCCTTCCAGGTAAATTGTTCCTCTGCCACTTTGCCTTTATCTTTTGTAACTAGCCAACCTGGCAGAAGCTCAATGCCACTGAACATGTCACCAGCGATTAGATCTCCTCCAACATCCAAGTGAGGAAATGCATCTGGATCTCCACTTGCTGCTTTTGATAGCTTATTTTTAACTTTTTGCAACCAAAGCTTCAATTTCCACACAAGAGTGTCTGGACATGCAGCATGAGGTCAACAATTGGCTTCATCACGTCCAGGAAAGCTAGAAGATCAGCAATGAAATCAGCCCCACCAATGATGTGCTGCCATTGCTCATCTTCATCGCAATTTGGATGCAAGAGTTCAAAGGCTTGCCAAAACGATTTGCAACCTTTCTCTATCTTGAGCCACTGTTCATATGAAGAGTTGGTGAATTGCTGTGTTGCATAGGAAACAGGTCGCATTGCAGATTGGTCAATCATTTGCAAGAAGGCTGTTAAAAACATTGCATCATTTGATAAATCTTCAAAAAGTGAATTCCACTTGCTTCTTTAGAATCCTTCACATCTGTTACTCCTAGGTTTAGAGCATGCACAGCATCCCAAGTAACAGGTAGTGCAAGATGTGCATCATCTTCTCCAATACCCAACATTTCCAGAACTTTCCCTCGAATGTTAGTAGCCTGATGCATCTGCTGCAACACCACACAAATTCGTGAGGTTATCTTTCATTCCCTTAAGCATCATTTCAGCCAGACTATCATAGGTGGCAGCCTCAAAATCGGTGTAAACCTTTGGAGCATCAGTGGGAATTGGAAAAGGGATACCATCTTCATTACGAGCAATAACAAAAGTAGCTTGGATTGTTGTACAAGACAGCATAGCTTTGTCAACAGTGGCCCATATGTGAGGGGGTAAGTGCGTTGATGGAAGAGGTTGATTAAGCCATGTTCTCATTCTGCCATTTACAGGGTTTTTTTCAAACAATAAAGAATGTAATTGAACAGATTAGCTGTTTTTTCTCCATCAGCATTGCTTTACGCTTGTACAATTCCATTGCTTTATGGTGTGTTTTCAATTCATCAAGCACAAGCACAAGTGGTTGATACAAACATTCTTTTGATGGTACCAGATCATGTTTTGACCGTTGGTCAGTTGTACAGTGGCATCTTCATTAGAAAAAGCCCTGTCCCAAGTGTACCAGTGGCAGAGCAGCTGGGAAATTTGTTGTCGCTGTGCAGAGAAATTGCTGGCGCACACAATATTTTACAAAAATTTGAAAATTTGAAAAAACAACACAAGTGAAACTTCAACTGATGATTTTGCATTTTTAAAATGGCGATCACATATATTTTTAAAAGTGGGATAATGAATCAAAGTTTGCTTTTTTAATCCCAAAAAGGTATGAAAATTATTTAAATATTTACTGTTTCCGTGTTTATAATGTATTTTTTGAGAAAAGTAAACATTTTTCCGATAAAAAAGCATAGTTTCTGCAGAAAACTGTTTTTTGAGGTAGAATATCCTGGGAGAGGGGGTGTAGAAGCATGAGCGGATAGCAAAAAACTTTGACGATTTCACCAAAAAATTGATACCAAATTTTGTTTTGCTTTAGTTTGATATGTAATTTAAACAATTTTTTACATCTAAAAATTGCCCCTCGTGATCAAAACTTGGATTATGTTTGCAGTATTGTCTATTTGTTTACTTCTGGAGATCAAAGTTTGTGGTTCAATTCTATTACGTCATCAGCTGTAGTCATTACAGAGCTGTACGAGAGAGGAGCCGTGCATGCGCTTAACCATTTAAGTGTGTCATGTTGCTTAGCTTGCAGCCTTTTTTCATGCTTTGTCTTGTCAAAATAACAAAATCACCGTCCACATCCATCGTTCACCAAAGAAGAGAAGCCTTCGCTGGAGAAGTCTCTTTGTAAATTACTAGCTCAGTACTTTGCTCATTTGCATAATATCTTGCTTGGTTTTTACAGGATGTCGAGCGATACACTGCCACTCGAACCGACACCACATGGTGCCCCAAATGAATCTGATATTCCCTTGCATTTGGGAACGGATTCGGGGTTACTTGTCTCTTTACTAACATCAATGAGTGAAGGGATAAACCAAACTAACACTCTTTTATGCAAATTTATGTCAAACTCAAAGTCCGATGAAAATATCCGTAAGACTAAGAGAGCTGTAGAGTTAGACACTGATGACCGTTCAGATTCGCCTGAAGAGGAAGACAAACACACTTCTGAACCGGAAAACAGTTTGAGAAAACATAGAAAAACAACTAATGCTCCAAAGAGAGCTAAACTTACGACCCAAGAAGGTCAATCTCAGACTACAAAGATAGTCAAAGATCCCACAGAGACAGGGCACACATCTGATGTGGAGGTCATTGAAACCAGTGCCAGTGGGCCTGATGATACTGATAGGCATCAATTTTGCCCTGATGACCTAGTAAGCCTTTTTGCAGGTGATGACTTTAATCCGAATGATGAAGATACCTTGGACAATGCTGACTTACTTACAGATATTGACTCTGCCTTGTCATCTGCAACCGAAAAAGGCCCTCCAATATGTGAACACTTAGCAAAAACTGTTGACCAACGATTATCAGATGAAGTTGATAGGGACAAACTAAAAACTATTGTCTCTAAATACAAATCACCAAAAAATTGTGAAGAATTGTACTTAACAAAAGTTAATCAAGAAATTTGGAGCCAACTACCCACACATGCTCTAAAAGCTGATATTATGGTAGCAAACTTACAGGATACACTGTTAGGAGGGATCTCAGCCTCACTTATCTCAGTAAATGAGTTGCTGGAATGTAGAGCAAAGAAAACTCTACCTGACTACAAGACAAGACAATTTATTGCTCCATAATAATCACACAATTACATTTTTTGTTTTACATTATTCCTTTTTTATCTATTGATGTTACTTATATATTTAAAATAAAATAAAGGAGCTGACACCCCAAAATAACCAAAAGGCTAAAAGACTGGGGCCCAAGTAGCACAATTAATCAATAATTGTAAGATTGATCTTACAATAATTACAATTTTTTAGAGAATAAAGAAAAATGAAAAATAAAAAAGACAATCATTTTTAGGGATAAAAAAAATTAATACTGACTAATAAAAACAGCTTTAATTTTTCTCTTAAGTTGTAAAAATGTCATCTGTTTATCAGCTTCACTGAGTGCATTCCATGCTTTCACTCCCTGATATCTTATATTAAAGTGCCTATGAAATGAAATTTTTTATTCGATATTCCCATAGTGTTTAATGTATAAAAGACGATTTTAAAAAGGCAAGCTCTAAAAATCAATTAAACAAAAGTTATCGAGGGTTAAACATGCCGATTTTGGCTCCAAAAAGTGGTTCTGTCTGTGCGCGGCCAAAAGGCGTCAAATTACTTCCTGTGACGTAAAGAGCAGGGCACGCTCAATAACATAAGCTGTATTAAGCTGTCTTGTATATAAATGATCACGCAACGTCTTCTTCAAGAATATGGTTGTGCTCGGCACATTTTGACGAGAGCTATTTTATTCGAGAGCTATTTTATTCGAGAGCTCTAGAGCAATTTACAAGGTTTCGATAACAGTTACACTGAACGCTTCTCGACTCGAGGCTCAGTTCCAACGATTGACGTTGTTGAGACGTAGAAGATGTCATTGCCATAGCGATTGTATGAGAAGTAAAGAGACCACCAACTTATGGTAAGATTTTGCATTTACAGGCATGTTCATAAGGTCAATTGAAAGGGCATAGTTTTTACATACTCCACTAGGTGACTGGGGCATATTATTTTATCTTTCTGCACAACCAATATATCATTCATATCATATGCAGGTGTTCTTTGTTTTAAAGGTTGGTGGGGGGATTGGTATTAGAGGGAGATGGGCAATGGGGTTTTTGGTACAATATGGTTAACAAATTGTCTATGTTTCATATAGAGTATGTCAACTGCATAGACATAGGAGAAATTATGTTTACTGCATGTTGATAGCACAACATTGGAAGAGATTGGCAAGCAATATCAGTCTTTGCAACCGAAATCCTTGACCAGTCAGTTTACAGAACGTTTAGCGAAGACAGAAGCGGTTGAGAAATATTTAAAATTATTTATATTTAAAATTATTCACAAAGAGAAAAGTTAGTATTAAAAGGGGAAATAGCAGACTATGTAATGTACCAAAATGCAAGACCAGCCAAACAGTTGAACTTCACCATATAAATCTCAGTGTATAAAACACAGTTCGAGTTTCATTACTGACATCATTATTGTGTTTGAGTAGAGCAATGCAGTAACTTGAAGATGTTATAATCCACCCTTCTGGCTGGCCTTTGTATATGTTTTGAAGGCATATCGGAAACGTATCATTATAGTTGTTCGATATAAATAAACATGGCTCTATTACTGTATTATTAAACTATTAAAAACTATCCACATTTGGAAAGTGTTTTTTGTCAAATATAAAACATAAAAATTGCACAGTAATTCTATAACTTTGACAGCATGAAATGATGCACAATACTCTTTTGTAAGGAGTTCCTGAACGTCATTTATAGCTTTGCCCTTTCGGTCTCTCAATAAAGGGCCGACTTGAGCCAGCACAGCCTCGTTCGTCACGGCCTTGTAGTCTTCATGCAATGTCAAACATGAAATTTTCTCTGGCGATGCTCCCGTCGAATGTTAGTTTCCCAAGTGCTTCAACAATTTCATGGCAACATCGGTATTCAAGCTAGTGCATCAACCAAATTTCGATCCAAGCACTTGCCACATTTACACCTATATCAAATTGAAGCAGCGAGTTGAATCAAGTGTTTTTGTCAAATTTAATTCTTTAAAACGACTGAAGTTCAAATGTATCAAACTAAAAAAAGCTACTTACCAAGAATCAACTTTATTCTTTCGGTCATATCTAGCCCGGCTTCCTTGGTCGTTTCTTCGCTTATATCGTCCATTATATTGTCTCCCTGAGGATTTAATGGTTCACCTTCACACGGCATATAATGAGCGCCAAAAACATGCTCACTTGAATCGCTTGAGTCCAAAATAGCAACAGAAATATCACTACAATCGACGACATTGTGCTATATTGTTTGTATTGTGTTGACTCGTGTCAATTTCCCGTGCCCTGCTAATTACGTCACACGTATTCGATTCGTTCCCAGTCTCCGGACCACTTTGTCAATATAAAAACATTACAAAAGCTTGCAAAAACTACTGTTTGCTCTTAAGATTTGACATTTTTATTATCAAATTCGAAATCTCCATTGCCAAAAGTACCAAATAGTGATATAAAAAATTTCATTTCATAGGCACTTTAAATAATCCAAAATTTGTTCTTATTTTCGGCAAAGAAAATAGAGTATATTTTTCTTTTGGAGATAAGCAATAAGCCGATTATACATAAGTTTTTCTAGTAATTTGTTGAAGACAGAGAGAAGTGAAATTGGTCTGTAGTTATTCAAGTTAGTATGGTCCCCCTTTTTGAATACTGGTACGACTCTAGCTAGTTTGAAGTTTTCAGGGACAATACCAGTTCAAAAAGAGGTGTTAAACAAAATTTCCAGGGGTTTAGCTATGACATTTTGAAGAAGCTTTAGCACTTTTATAGGTACACTACATGGTCCTACTGCCTTGCTAGTTTTTAGAGCCTTAATTTCTCTTTCAATTTCGTATGAAGTGGTAGGGTATATGTAAAAACTATCCGAAGTTTGACTATCAATATATTCCAATGGTGATTTAGAGATATTGGGAATATCACTGGCAAGTTTATCACCAATTTCTGCAAAATATTTGCTAAAAGCTTCTGCGATTTTTTGAGTTTCAGTAATTTCTTGCCCATTATTTATAATCTTTGTCGGAATTGCACTAGAAGTTGGAGTTTTCATGTATATTATTTGTCTGATTCCCCCTTCCATACTAATTTGGAGTCATTCAGATGATTATTGAAATAGTTGTTGTAATAATTGTTTTCACTCCTTCTCATTAAATGATTTATTTTATTTCTATATTTCTTAAATCTTGAATAGAACTTTTGCAATTTAGTTTTTAAATATTTTTTATAATAAATATTCTTTATGTGGCTCATTGCCCAATTAGTTGTTGATTCTATAGCCTTAACAGGATTTGTCTGTAAGGAATTATCCTATAGAAGGCGTGATACATTACGTCCACTATTACACAAAGATTTTCAACAAGTTTGTTCTCGTACTAACAAGATCGGTAAAATGCTTTTTGGGGATGACTTACTGAAGACCATCCAAGATATTATGTTGACAAATAGGGTTATGAACACAGTTGCAAAACCTATAGCTAATAGTAGTAAAAACTACTCCAAGCCCAAAACATATACACTACCTCTAATGCCAGGTCTTTTTTTATGGACCAAGGGGAGGAATCAGTATCCTCCCAGGAAACAATATCCTCAAAGTCAATCTCAGACAAACAAAAAGAAATTTATCAAACATTAGAAAATTTCAAAACTCAGGTAAATAAAACTGCTTATGCCAAATTTATAAATGATTCATTGAAAGCATATCTTGTATCCAAAGCTAATAATTTTAGAGCTGGACAAGTGTCTGTGTGTTATCAGGAGTGGGAACAAATTACTTCTGACCAGGATATACTTACAAGGAGAAAAGATTGATTTTGTAGGTTGTCCTCCCATTCAACATTCCACTCCTTAATTATAGCAATGGTCTATCAAAAGATCAACTTTACTTGGTGGAGCAGGAAATTGAATCTTTACTACAGAAACAAGTTATTGTTAAATGTCAACCTGAAGACATTGAATTTGTATCGCCTATCTTTACTGTGCCCAAGAAAGATGGGAAACTACGACTAATTTTGAATCTGAAAAAACTGAATACAGCAGTTAAATATGCCCATTTTAAAATGGATTCTATTCACACTATTTTGAAACTTATCACCAAAGATTGTTGGATGGCATCTATCGACTTGAAAGATGCATACTACAGTGTAAAAATCCATCCGGAACACCACCGGTTCTTGAAGTTCTCTTACAAGGGGCAACTTTTCAAATTCACTGTTTTCCCTAATGGGCTTTCATCCTGTCCTCGACAGTTCACCAAAATTATGAAGCCTATTCCAGCAAAGATTCAACTCCTGCTCCACATTATTAGTAGTTATCTGGATGACTTATATTTACAAAACAACAAATATGAAGGCTGTGTCCATACCATTATTAACACCTTTCAGATCCTTGAACAATATGGCTTTACTATTCATCCAGATAAATCCGTCTTGATTCCTTCCCAGTCTATAATGATGTTGGGGTTTGTTATTAATTCAAAGCATATGACTATTACCCAAACTGTTGAGAAAATTACTTCCATACTAGAAAATACTTGCATGCAGAAACCCTCGCCTTGCTGACAAAACCATTGTATTTTCCGAACATGAAGTATCTAAAGTTGTCATGGTAACACGATATTTTTAAGAATATTCTTACAAATGAAAAATCGCCTAAAAATATCACTTATCAATTTCCCAACATATATATGTTAGGTATGTTATATGTAATATAAGCTTCAGTTTAAGGTACAATTCAACCACAAACGCTTTAAACAAAACGTTTTAAATTAAAGTGTTCTTTATAAAACTAAACTACCTTTAATTAAATGGCTTTATCGATAAACTTTGAGTTTGCAATAAAATGATTTCAAATTTTCGCATGCAAATAACTTTCTTTTTATTTATTTAAAAAATTCAATATAATAAAAAGAGAATCAATATTAATAATACACTGAAATTATATGCTGTCTTCTTTAGTTGTTTCATATACGCAAAGGGCCAAAGGCCGTCGGGTTTTAAAGCAATTATAAAATCAATATTTAAAACAAACTTACCTTCGTTAACGTCGGCTCCCTTCTTTTAGCCGATTCTTTCACCCTTTCTTTCTGAGAAAGCTTTTGAAATTTACAAAATCTTGCAAAAATGCGAGCAAAAATTAAATATATTTGCAAGAAATTTATCATTCATCAAATCAAGAACTGTTTACTATTTTGCGGCCGTCATGCAGTCGTTATAATGCAAACTTTAAATTGCACCAATCAGTGCCCGCTATTCATGACAGTCCGCCATATTTTTGAGATCAGTGAGGATGACCACCCACCGAACCACTCACGGTAACCCACGGCCGCGCTCATTGATGAACTTTAGACTTGGCTAATGCTTTCGTTTCCCCGGGTGTAAATAGCCGGGGGAATTAGTACCCTTGCACGGAGCTTCACGCCATCGGCTCGGGGAAAATCCTTAATAGAGAGTATTTTACATACACCTTACAACATTAAAATACGATTAGTAGCTAAAGTACTTGGACATTTGATCTCCAGTCTACCAGCTGTAATGTTTGGTGCACTTTACTATAGATGCCTTGAAAAAGACAAAACCCTTGCCCTTAAAGTTGCCAAGGGTAGTTTTGGGGCCAAAAATTCTATATCCCAGCATGGAATACAAGAGTTAAATTGGTGGTTAGAAAACCTAGAAGCTAGTTACAATGTTTTCCAACATCCCTCAATTGATATTGTTTTATATTCGGATGCTTCAACTACAGGTTGGGGGGCAGCACTAGGAGAGCAATCTACAGGCGGCCCAACAGAAGCAGAACTTCACATTAATGCCCTAGAGCAGCAAGCTGCATTTTTTGCTCTGAGATCTTTCAAGCACTCCCTTAGTGGTAAACATGTTAAATTAATGATTGACAATACCTCAGCTGTATATATCATTAATAATATGGGCACAAGTCACAGTGACAATTGCCATTCAATATGTGTTGCTATTTGGGAGTTTTGCATCACCAACAAAATATGGCTAACAGCTGCCCATTTACCAGGGGCTTTAAATGTAGTAGCTGATAAGGAATCAAGACGATCATACAGTGATTCTGAATGGATGATTGATAGCAATATTATGCAAAAATCTCTATCAGATTTAGACTTTACACCTGAAATTGACCTTTTTGCCTCTAGATTGAACAATCAATTAAATGCATATTGTTCATATAGACCCGATCCGGATGCAATGTATATTAATGCATTCTCAATCTCCTGGGCAAATTTAAAGTTTTACTCCTTTCCACCTTTCAGTTGCATACTTCAGGTTGTCCAGAAAATCATCCAAGACAAAGCCGCAGGAGTGATAGTGGTCCCAAACTGGCCCACACAAGCTTGGTATTCTCTCCTTCAACCTCTTCTAGTCAAAAGTCCACAGACATGCAAACCATCAAAGACACTCTTACACCTTCCAGCATGCCAAACTCAGTCGCACCCTCTACACAAAAAACTGGAACTCCACATTTGTCTTGTGTCCGGGAAAGATTCTTAACATCTGCCATATCATGACGTTCAGCTGACATAATGATGGCATCATGGAGAGAGGGTACTAAGGCAGAATATGACCCATACATTAGGAAATGGTTAGACTTTTGTATGAAGGTTAAGTGTGACCTTGTTACTCCTCCAGTCCCAACTGCCATTGATTTTTTAGCAAGCTCTTTTGATGGAGGCCTTTCATATGCTTCTGTCAATACAGCTTGTAGTGCACTGTCATATGTCTTACTCATTGAAAATAGCAAGATACCTTTTGGTCAGTTACCGCCGGTCAAACACTTCGTGAAAGGCATCTTCGAACTGAAACCATCCTTGCCTAGATACCGTACAGTCTGGAACGTTAGTACAGTGTTTAATTATCCTCGTTGCCAACCAAATATTGCTGATTTGTCGTTGAAAGACTTATCTCTAAGACTGACCTTATTATTATTATTACTAAGTGGGCAACATTGCCAAACTGTTTATTATTTCACTATGGATAATATGGAGCTCTCAGAAGACAAATGTGTTTTCAAGGTCACTGACAAGGTCAAACCAGGAAAGGATATCATATTCCACCCATCATCTATGAGCATTATCCCCATGAAAGAAGGTTATGTCCAGTAGCCCATATTAAGGAGTGCGTAAAAAGAACTGCAAGTCTCCGTAGCCCAGACTGTAAACAATTGCTTGTTAGCTTTATTCGACCCCATGGCTCTGTTTCCAAGACAACTATTGCGCGTTGGTGTAAATTGTTATTAAGTGTAGCTGGGGTTGATACTACCAATTTCCACTGTCACAGCAGCTGGGCAGCTTCGACTTCTTATGCAGCTGATGGCAATGTAAACATTTCCTGTATTTTGGAAGCTGTGGGTTGGTCGAATGAACAGACTTTCCAAACATTTTATCATAAGCCTTGTGTAGAATCTAGTTTTAATCTAGGTTCAGCAGTTCTTGACACTTATGTTGCTCAATTGTAAGATTTTCATTTATGCAATATTTATGTTGTGTTATTAGCATTTATACTAATGCATTTAAAGTTATACAAATTCGTTCACATGAAATATATTATTGGCTTTTATGTGTTACTGTATCTTAGATTTACCCTGATGACCAGCTGTGAAATCTCGTACAGCTCTGTAATGACTACAGCTGATGACATAACAGAATTTACCAATTTAACAAGACTTACCTGTAAGTTGAAGTTGGATTGGAATTCTACAAGTCATCAGCCAGGAGTGAAAGAGGTGTACTCCCTAGCCAAGTATTTATGTTTATTACCCTCCCATCTCTTTCACTCCTTTTCTCTGGTCAACAGGTTAAATCTTCTGGCTGTAAAATATGGTTAAGCGCATGCGCGGCTCCTCTCTAGTACACCTCTTTCACTCCTGGCTGATGACTTATAGAATTCCAATCCAACTTCAACTTACAGGTAAGTCTTATATAAGTTAAATTGGTAAATTATTTTTAAAGTTTGTAAACTACCCAGCTAATTCTTGGCTGTTGTTTGCAGCCTTGTATGCTGATTAAAATTTAGTTTAGTCCACAATAGTAGATCCTTTCAAAGAAAGGAAATTAAAAATAGAAAATTTGATTGCTTTTACAGCACAGTTAGTACATAGGTAGGGTGCAATACCAGGCCAAATTGCAAAAAAATTTACCGAAATCTCCAAATTTAAAATCATATTTTTTTGCTCCCAAGGCACATAGGAAACATAAGCTAACAATGAATTTTGTTGAAAAATTGCCCCTTTGCATCTAATTTCACTTTGAAATGTGTGTGTTTACTGCTCTTGTGTGAGACAAGAGTTAGAAAAAATTCAAAGTACTGTAAAATGTAACGAAATCGACAATTTGACCTTGCCCTTGAGAGCTTGTACTGCCTCAGCACTGAAATGTTTTTTGACAACGATAATTTACCAGTGTTTCTTGGATATTTTCCTTGTTTAACTAGAACCGAACATACAAGTGCATTAGAAGACTAAGTGAGAGTTTTGTGTAGAAATGCTCTGTTTACGGGAAGTCACAAGCGTCAACAAAAGCCAGCATTTTCACAGTTTTGATTATCATGTTGATAGATAAAAGCTTTGAAAATTCAATTGAAAACATTTTAAACCACCCCTATTTCTATAGAATATATGTTAGTGGTATTAACATTGAACTTCTTCCTAGCTGTTTGAACCCAAATTCGTACTTGTTTTGTATTTGACAAGGCTATCAAGCTTGCGACAATTGGCAGGCATGACTGCAGATTTAGCGTGTCAAATGTCTTCTTGTTTATGTCAAGTTTATAAAATTCTATTGCTGTTCAAACACAAACGAGATATACACTGGAAACGTAGAGTACTTTGTCTTTGTCTCGAGCAAAAAAATTATAAAGATTAAACAGGCATTCAAAAATATATAATAACCACGAACATCTCGTTATTTCTTCGGGGAAGTTTCCTAGCTGCTCCAGTAGCAGTAGAGTTGATAATTTGATGGGCTTCAAAGGCAGTGAGATTGGCAAGAGTGGGTCTAGATTTTAGGTACAGGTTGTGACACGGAGAACAACGTAAAACAGCTTCCTGCAATTGTTCATTGTAGAAAAATATGAGATCGGTTGCATTTTTGCTAGCTCCAAGTTATTTTTAGCTTTTCGCATAACCTTAATCAACTCTCGAGTGAGTTTGTCTTCAAAAGCTAAAATCTTGGACATAACTGGTTGAGACTATTTTCCCTTTATAGAAAATTCACATAATTTTATGATAAATTCCATGTTGAATCACTTTGCCCTTCTTTAGCCCCCGCTCCTCCAACTCAATGTTGAGCTTGTGTCATGGTGTATTACCAAAAGTTGTTTTGGTGTTATTTTCATTGAACTGGGGGAGGGGGATACAAAGGTTGTTTTGTTAATGTTCAATAACTTTGTAATATTAGCTGGAATGGTCTCAAGGGTTTTGTCCAAGATTGTAGGTGGTTTAGTGACTGATGTTGCTTGCCAATACTTTCAACTTTTAATGTCAGATTGGTGATGGCATGCATAACATCTTTAAGGCTTGTATCAGCAGGATTACACAGTTTCTCATGTTGTTTGAAAGAAAGCAACATCCCTTGTCTTTTCATACTTTCTGAAACCACTTTGTCACCAGATATTTCTACAGGAGGCTGTTTAACTAGCACTGGAAAATTGTTATAATTCTTATTCAAATCCATACTACTGGCGGCTGGAAGAAGGATCATCATAAATTGTTTTCTTCTGCTCTTTCTGTGAAGAAAGTAACACAAGATCAGAAGTTGGAACAGCTGAAGAGTTTGACTCTTGTTTTTAGCTGGGAACCAGAGATCTATTTTGAAATTTTTTTGTAAAATGTTGACTTCTGATGCAGTTGATGGAACAATTATGGTACACTTTTTAAGTTAGCAGTTTGATGTCTTCATTCTTTGTGCCATTTAATAGTGTAATCATCAGGCAGGAAAACCTTTCTGTCATTTCCTCTTGTAAAGCCAATTCCAAGCGTTCTAGACAATAAAATGTTTCTGCCAATTTCTTTCCCTTTTCCACCACATCACCTTTTACTTTCTTGTTTTGGCAACCTTGTTTCCAATCCCACATCATTTGACGTTTCTCGCCATATTTTGTTGTCTTCTCACCATGGTTTGTTGTGTTTTCCGAAACTGTCAATATAGTTATAAAGCCTTGCGATTCCGGAGCAGTGCTCTAACCAACTGAGCTACAGAGGCCAGCTGTTGAGCTGAAGCTCAGTTGGTTAGAGTGCTGCTCCAGAATCGCAGGACCCTATGGTCCTGTAGGTTCAATTCCTACCAGAGGACCTTGTGCTGAATTTTTCATTGTATGGTCCTATAGGTTCAATTCCTACCAGAGGACCTTGTGCTGAATTTTTCGCAGTCATTCCTGGTTAGGTCTTAAAATGTATATATTCTCGCTTGGATTACAAACCCTAACATCCTAATATTAATTCCGCCAAGTGAAGTGCAAGACTCTAAGTCATTCAAGTCCACCTTATCACAACCCGCACACCCGATTACCTATATATACATCAACTTATGGTTACAGCTCAACAGCTGGCCTCTGTAGCTCAGTTGGTTAGAGCACTGCTCCGGAATCACAGGGTCGTAGGTTCAATTCTTACTAGAAGACCTTGTGCTGCATTTTTCACAGTCGTTCCTGGTTAGGTCTTAAAATGTATATATTCTCGCTTGGATTACAAACCCTAACATCCTAATATCATTTGCATTCTGGCTACGTTGCAGTAAACAGCTCGAACAAGATAGCTTATCAAATATTCATATATGAGTCCTTATTACTCATAAATATTTATGTATGGGTATTCCTGGTTTGTTGCCGTTTTTGAAAAACTATACAAAGTGATGTAACCTGCAAATGTTTTCGGGAGAAAGTGGCCGCTTTTGACGCTTTCTTGCTTGGCAGTTGAGAGAGATGAGGCTTGTTCAGTTTGTAACATTGTTTAGCGACATCTATGGAGATTTTATATGTGATACGTTTATGGCGATCTGTTAACATTCATTCTGATTTCTGCATTGCATTTTGGTAGATCTAGCAAAATTTTTAAAGCCTATCTTCTAAAAGTGAACAAGGTCTGATTGTGGTGCTTGATGGATTGCCTCTGCCAGCAAAAGCTGAAGAAAATGACAACAGAAGAAGGTATAAAAGAAGCCAGTTTTTAGTAGTACAAAGGTGCAAATACTATAACTTTTAATTTTCTATTTAACCATTAAGCGCCAGCGCTCTCCCCTTAACGAGTAAGGGACGGACCATTTGATTTTTCATGGGGCGCAAATCCGAAAAAAAATATCGAAAAATTCGTCCGATCATCAATCACGCCATCCTGGCTAGTACAACCGGCACTTTGTACCTATCAAAACCGTGAGCGAGTCAAAATTTTCGTGGGTTACACTTCTGCTATACTTTCCTATTTTGTGGTTATATGCTGTATATTCAAATACATTCTTCAACCGGAATCTAACCATACGAGGTTATTATTGTATTAACGCTATAGTAAAAATTTTAAAAAATATCGTGCACGCGGCAAGATTCGATAAAAAAAAATCGTGCGTTGTCGGTGTGGTCCAAAAAAAAATCGAGCACTCTCAAAAATGCGCCCCCCCCCATGAAAAATCAAATGGTCCGTCCCTAAAATCGTCTGGCGTTAGACAGAGTAAAATCATCTGGCGTTAGACAGAGTAAAATACTAAAGTAGGGTGCATCAGGGTGCAATGCGACTCAATGGGTTAACTAGACACATGGGCAGATAGCCCAGTTAACCATTAAGCACCAGCGCTCTCCCCTTGACGAGTAAATCGTCTGGCATTAGACAGAGTAAAATACTCTGGCGTTAGAAAGAGTAAAATACTAAAGTAGGGTGCATCAGGGTGCAATGCGACTCAATGGGTTAAACAGATATTGAGAAAGTCTTCTGAGACAAACTGACGAAGCTATCACAGTCGGGAAGGCAAATAAACTTCGAAGCCAGGCTGTGTCAATGACGTTTAAAGACATCATTACTTGTATAGAATTGAGCGAGTACTTTTATATTACAAGCCAACATTAATTGTATTATAGCTTGTAACTTTGTCATCAAGCTACTTTACTAGAATTATTCAGATACAAAATTGTAATTTTGTATCTGAATAATTGACTTAATCAACCCCGGCCCTTTTAAGACTCAATGCACCCTACTTTATAATTCCTAACATAAGACAAGTTTTATTGTTATGGTTTTAATCTTTAATGAGAACACGAGTAATGGCTAACCCACTATAAATGGATATTATGAGTCCTTCATGAAGGGCTGGCCATCTGGAGCAAGATCCTGCAAGTTACTTGCATTCCCTAATAAATCTAAATTTCTTTTCATTTATACAATAAGAGGGCAGCTCCTATGTGAGGTTTTGCTATTGATTCCAAAATCTATACCACCTCCAAGGTTTTGCTTATAGGCTGGCACTCTTAGTCTGTATGGGTTAAAAACCCACCATATCCATAATGTACTCCAATATACAGTCTTTCGAGGATATCAGTAACAAGTGTACCATACCAAAGATTGCTCAATAAAACTAACACAGAAGCATTTAAAAAGGAAATTAAAAATATTTCCTGGGATAATATATTAAGTCAAATAAATGACCTTGTAAAGGCCTATAATTAATTTTTGGAAACATTTGGGGATGTATATGAAGTGAATTTCCCACTGAAAACAAAACAATGCAAAGGAATAAATAAAAGCAAAAGTCCATGGATGACTAACTGCATATTAAGATCAGTTAGAAAAAAGAACAAACTTTACAAAAAATTCCTTACGAATCCAAATGGAAAAAATGAAAAATTGTACAAAAATTAGAAAAATAAATTAACCCATTGAGTGGCAATGCACCCTGATGCACGCTACTTTAGTATTTTACTCTGTCTAACGCCAGACGATTTTACTCACCAAGAGGAGAGCGCTGGCTGGCACTTAATGGGTTAAACCATATTATAAAAATAGCAAAGAAAACATACTATAAGGAACAATTGATAAAATAAAAGCAAAATTCCAAAATGATATGGAACACATTAAACAAATCACTAAATAAGCCAAAGAAAAATACCACACTATCGAAAACATTTATCGAAAGAAACTCGTCAAATATAATAGATGACCCAAAAACAATAGCTAACAATTTCAATGAATACTTTATTAATCTTGGACCTAATTTGGCCAAGATTATTCTGGCCAAGATTAAGATTAAGCACAATGACAATAATAATTTTGAAAAATATCTTGAAGGTAGTTATCAATCCAGTTTCTTTCTTAATCCTATCACAGAAAATTAACCTGAAGTAGAACTGACAAATATAAAGTCAAACAAAAGTTGTGGATATATGGAATTAGTTCAAACATTGCAAAATTAATAGCTATAAACACATATAACACATTAACACATATATTCAACCTATCAGTCTCAACTGGAATTATCCCAGATAATCTCAAAGTTGCATTGATTATTACACCAATTTTTAAGGCTAATGATGCAATGAAATTTGAAAATTACCGACCAATATCAGTTCTAGTTTGTTTTTCTAAATTGCTGGATAGACTAATTATCACTAATCAACTATCAAAATTTATTGATAAAAACAAAATATTATCAAAACATCAATATGGGTTTAGGAAAAATAGATTGACAGAACATGCATTGACTTTACCGATAAAACTACCAAAGCAATTGAAGAAGGAAAATACTCAATTGGTATTTTTCTTGATTTGTCAAAGGCATTTTAGACAGCCGGTGTCCCAGGAAATCTGGGGGCCATATTTCCTAGGAAATATGGCCATATTTCCTAGGAAATATGGCCTCCCCTCCGGAAATTTGCCCCCTCGAAAACGTAGGTTTACTTTATAGCTTATAAGCTTGGAAATTGTGAAGCTTCTGCTAAAACCAAGATCCTAAAAGTGTTTGTCAGTATTTATAGTTAGTTTGCATAATTTATTTGTATCAAAATTCTTTGTTGCGGCCAAGAGCTAAAAGTTTGAAGGAAAGCGTAATAGTCATGTGCTAGTGCAGTCATGCCAGACACATCACACATGGGTATCTGTACAGGACAACGTTAATATGATTAAATATTACAAATGGGTATCTGTGAAGGACAACGTTAATATGACAAAACGATTTTTAGAGATAGGAATTTCTAAAATATTACAAAGTTATTTAGATCTATTTATTCAGTCACATAGTATAAAATTAGTCAGAATAACAACCGCACCTTTAGCAAACGATGACATCATGCGTTGGCGAATATGTTAATATGCACGCGTCTAATAAATAACAGGGAGCAATTAGCAGTAAAAGTAGAATTTTAAGTGGAAACGTTTGTTCAAAAAACAAAATTAAATGAGTGATTACTTCGTAAAAAAACCTTGAATTGCCTATGCATTTACACATACACAGTATATATATTCGCTCATATGGTTGGGATACATTATAGAAGCATTCAGTAAAAACGAAAGTAGACTGCATGCTTCATGGCTCACAACTGAAACATTCCGCACACACAAAAGCACAAAGGTTTGCAATTGAATGACGTTCCGTTTCCTTAGTTTAATGATACAGCCATTATTTATTAACGTGGTCTTCTACAAAGCTGGTCAAAACCAAACGCGAAAAGTACGCTAAACGTTAGCTCTTGGTCTAATTCTCGTCACTATTGCAATTCAATGGAGAATTTTGACACAAAAAATTACGCAAACTGACTATAAATGTTTGAGAAAAATTTCTAGAAATTTGTTTTAGTAGAAGCCTTACGATTTCCGAGCCTAAAGATAAAACAAACTATAATTTTTTAAGGGGAGCCAAATTTCCAGGGGGGGGGGCAAATTTCCTAGGAAATTTGGCCCGGGGGGGGGCAATTTTCGGGGGGGGGGAAATTTCCTTTTTCTACTGTCTTTGTTTATTCTGTTGTTCAGCCAAAGCCCAAATCTATTGTATTAAAGTCCAAGAAAAGGTAATATTAAGAGCTCTTTTTTATAGAAATATTAAACGGGAATAAACACATTTTAAAAGGTTATTTATGAATAAAAACTTTGTGTACATATTCCCTGCCAAAATGACATGTAGACGTATTGTTAAACACAATTCAACACAATGCAGGGGATGTGAAGGCTATCAATAATGAAATGTCGGCACATCCTGGTGGGCATTTTGGCCGGCAAATTGAAATAAATTTGAAAACAAAGTTTACACATCTATACTGATATACATAATTTATGTGTGTATATTAAAATATGTTGACAGTTGATACATGTACATATTAAAAACTCAAAAAGAACAAATAAACTAGTGTATACAGTTTATAGTAGTCACATATATGCTACAAACAACAATGCTATGCATCAACGTTGACAACATATCTGTCTGGCCACATACTATTTACACAATAGATGTGGCACCATTTTTGACATGTTTCAATACCACACTGTACCCAGTCATCAACATCAATGTCTTCTTCATTTTCATCTACATCTTCCTGATGACCTTTAGGGGGGCGGGGACATGAGAATGTACAATAAATAGTTAACTGTACAGATTATTAAACTTTCATAATGATACTGAGAAAAGGCAAGGATATGGCTATAGAGACGTGTGAAAGTGCAACATATAAAAGAAGCTACTCATACATAGGTTGCAAGCTTCCTCTTCTTGTTGATCATGATCTGCAGGATTTCTCTCTGGAACAGATGCATTTTCCAAGATGAGAGTTTCATCCAGCCTTCGCTGTTTTGGCTCACTTGCTCTGGCCTTGGAAGCATTACCTATCTTTCTCTTTCTTTGCAACTGATTTGTTTGTTGCTTGTGGGCAGCCAACTTTTTTTTTACGGGAAAGCAAGACCACATCTCCTTGAGTTACCACCTGATTTAATTATGAAGTTGCATTGATGTTCCTTCTGCACTGGGCCACAACCTTTTCCTATAAAGCGGCAACATTTTTTAGCTTATAGTATGTTACATTGTTCTAATTTAACTTTGTCTTTTGCAATTTTCATTTATTATATTATTTATTTGTTAAATATCTTTCATTAACAAAGACAACAGTATTAAACTAGAGCATGTATGATGTTCACATCAAGGGCTAAACTATAATTAGTGATAACAAGTATTCAATACCTTTCTTATGGTGAAGCACAGACATGTGTCTGTTCATTTCAGTCTCCGACATGAATAGGTATGATGGGCAGTAAGGACATACACTTAGAGAGATGGAGTTTGGCAGATTTGTATCACCTGTTGGGAAAAATTTCTTCATTAAGACATGATTATTATAGAAAATAAAGGTAGAGGTTCCAAATAATGCAAGACCTGCACTAAAACAACCATGTTAGGAGACAATTATAATGAAGCTCGCACAAATCGTACCCACATAAACTAGCATGCATGTTCCGATAATCATAAAAAATATTTATAACATCTCATAAAACCAAGTTCTGTGCAGTAACTGGTTTGCTTTGGTGAGACAGACTACTTCCCCGTGGGAAGAGCCTTCTCGTCCAGTTCAGAGACCTCCAAGAATGTCATGAAATGGCCTGGATGCGATGTGCTTGGGATTGGGTTGGGCCACTTCATCTTACGTTGCATTAGATATTCCCACATCTTTGATGCACAAACAGGACGTTTAGTTCAGATTATCTCATTTGATTTCTGGTCAATGTGTTTGGTCATAAACCTCATCTCAAATACAATTTCTTTATTCATACAGAGTTGGCCAACTGGACCGGAAATAATCTAGAATATAAAATATTCAAATTGTTAAATGATCAAATCAAGAGATCCTCTTCTAAAACGTGCTAAACTATACCGGTGAATGGGTGCATTTTTATAAATGTAGAAGAACACTTTTGCTTACCTTATGGACATGCTCATAATCGTGATATGGACTCTCCTCTGCTAAGCTCTTTTTGACCAATGTGGCGACTTCGCACCATTAAAAGTTGCACCTTTCCAATATTTATCTTTCACAAGCATCATTGCATTGTCAAATACTGCCCCTTCTTTGGCACGACGTTCCTCTTCTTTCAGTTCCGTCTGCAGGTATGGTGCTTTGTCTTCCCCATCTGGTGTCGATGGCAGAACTATGGAAAGCCACAACTGTCTTAAGTGATCAAATATCACTGTACGTGGTGTTTTAATAATTATACGAGGTGCTTTTGCTGTTATACGCAGTAGTTTGATCATTATACGCGGTGCTCTGAACATTATACGTGGTGCTTTGATCATTATACACGGTGGTTTGATCATTATACGAGGTCCATTTATCATTATACGAGGTGCTTTGATCATTATACGAGGTGCTATAATCATTATACGAGGTGCTTTAATCATTATACGAGGTGCTTTGGTCATTATACGAGGTCCATTTATCATTATACGAGGTGCTTTGATCATTATACGAGGTGCTTTGATCATTATACGAGGTCCATTTATCATTATACGAGGTGCTTTGATCATTATACGAGGTGCTTTGATCATTATACGTGGTGCTTTGATCATTATACGAGGTGCTTTGATCATTATACGAGGTGCTTTGATCATTATACGAGGTGCTTTGATCATTATACGAGGTGCTTTGATCATTATACGAGGTGCTTTGATCATTATACGAGGTGCTTTGATCATTATACGAGGTGCTTTGATCATTATACGAGGTGCTTTGATCATTATACGAGGTGCTTTGATCATTATACGAGGTGCTTTGATCATTATACGAGGTGCTTTGATCATTATACGAGGTGCTTTGATCATTATACGAGGTGCTTTGATCATTATACGAGGTGCTTCTATCGTACGGTGAACATACTTTAGTAACTTTACCGACATCCTTACGATCAGCGGTCACTATCACCAAAATGGGCATAAATTTGTTATAAATTAATTATGTATTTAGTCTGGCGGCAAATTTTCAATGGAAATTTTCCAAGATGGCGTCCGAGAAAATGAAAGAGATTTTGCAGCAATTAAATCTGGGAATACAAATAGAGAAATTTGAAGAGGAGAGAATAGATCCACAAGTTATCCTCGCGTCGAGCGATAACGAACTTGTTCGCCTTGGCATTTGTACAATTGGAGACAGAGTAAGATTACGGGAATTGTGTCGAGCAAGCGTGGAAGGTGATAACCAGTCTAGTTCTGTTCAGGTAGAAAATGTTGCATCCCGAGTTGCGAACGAGAGGAATCTCTTATTTGCTCCAGGTTCAAGTGCTCGTTTCAATCGTAGGTCAAATAGAAACGGAAGTAATACTGGGAGAAACAAACCTACTCAAAAATTAAAGAGGCCCTGGACCGTTCACTTTGTGTGTCTGGCAGATAGATTATCAGTAAAAGTACCCAATGCCCACGAGAAACAAGTTCTCCATGCAGCTGGTCTGGGGAGCAAAAAGATTAAGCTTGATTTAGACGATGATGAACAAGCGGTTCTGATGAAGTTGACTTCAGCAGAATTGGTGAATGGACAGGCAGTAGGTTTTCCTCAATTAAAAGATTGTGGAGGATTTGAAATGATGATCTGTTCAGCGAATTGCAGACAACTAAGCAGTATGGATTGTGCATGGGACGCACAAAGTCTCAAGTCCAGCTTGGGTGGTGGTCAGGCAAAGATTTACCTGCGGCCAATACAAAAGTCTATTTCCACCAAGCCTGTTTCAGATCAAAAAAGTAAAACTGACTTAAAGGAAAAGTGTCAGATGTGCAATAAACTTATTCTGCTGTCTGACCTCCGGGTTCATTTTATGATATGCAGCAAGGTTCTCGACTCTGACAACGAAGACGATGCTTCAACTAGTTGGGAAAGTGCTGAACTTGAAGGAGAAAGTCAAACAGATTCTACCATCATTGACACTCAAGGCACTCAACAAACTGAAGCAAGTGGATCGGCTGCTCAGCCTATAACAATTGATAATGAAACAGAAACTCGTTTTGTTTCTAATGAAGAGCAGCACACTCAAGCTAACTCTGCAATATTCATTGAGCTAAATGACATTGAAATGAAGGTCAAGGAAGTTGCTGAGCACTGTAAACAAACAGGAGTGGGCAATAATCCAACAGAAATTCTACGTCACTTGCAGACGTCTTTGGTTTGTGGAAGGGCACTGGAGGTAACATCTCCAGACGACTGTCCTGAAGGAATTACCAACTTCGTGATGATTGATCGTCAGAATTTACTGCAAACTGCATTCGAAGAGATTCAGAGTCTTGAAAACAAGTTTATCACACTTGAAGTTCAGTTTTATAATGAGGTTAGTTTTTATTTAGTTTCGACCAGTCATTAAATACATATGGGGGGGGGGGGGGGGATGGAGGAGAAACTCTAAATTTGAAACTCTTTGGTGGTTTCTTGATATATGAGCATCCGTAACCTTGACCTCTTACCCTAACTCCAATCTTGATACCTATTTTGGTTGCTCATATAATGAGAAACCGCCCTGTTGTCGGTGTTCAATATCCCCCGGCCCCATGTAAATGAAAAAAAAATCAATATGCCCCCCCCCACTCTCCATCCCCCTCTCTCCATATTTAATGACCGGTCCCTAAGTTACAAAGGGTACGTACAGTAGTCAGTGCATGGCATAACCATTAAGGCCGCAAGGCAAATCGGATGCGATTCATTTTGTGCTGGTTACGTGTTCTGTAGCCAACACAAAAATGGTGATAAATTCACTGTCACAGCTCTGTGGACACTTAAACCACGAAAATGCTGTAATTACTGTTAAAACAAAACTTCGTTGGTGTAAAATTTACACCCCATTGTCAATAGAGCTGCATTGGATTTATACCAAATTGAGTGAAAACCCAGAAATTATGAGTATTGCTTGTACTATGCCAAGCTAGGTATATGAGGGTGTATAATCAAATTATTATAGGGACCACAAATGTATCATTCATTCACAAGAACTTTTACACTTGGTATAATAAAATTATTTAGATTACCTGCAATGAAGAAAATACTGACCAATAGCTTAGTCAAATGGTTTTATCATTTTAGCAAGCACAAGACTATGGAGGCCCACGGAAAGAGTTTTTTGTTGTTGTTATTACGTGCAATCAAAGAGACCTACTTCGATGATGGGTTGCAAGAGCATGTGAAGGATGATTATTACACTATAGGGCTGATAATGGGTAGGTAATACTAATATAATATGCTTTATGTAGACATTACTAACTGTTTTTCAATAAACTATGCAATCTCGTTCCCCCAGTCCAATCCTCGGGAAGGAACATGAGGCTCTGGGATAAGTCAGGGAGGAATCTAATTGGCCGTATGAATGCCCAGTTCGATCTTAGCCAGGATTCCTGGTTTCCGGCAATGGATTATCCCAATGCAGCGAATTCCTTCCAGAAGATCGCAGGCTCGGGGAACGAGATTGTAAACTATGTAAATATTAATACACGTGCCAGTGGGGTTTTGTGCATTGGGTCTACATGAATGTTATGGTCTATATGTTATTCAAATTTATTAAACACAACATGACCAAACTACATGCCAAGTAAATGCACAAAATTTATTTTGCATCGCAGATAAACACACACATGTTACAGTACTTAATTAAGATAGGGTTTATGACATACGCTACCATTTGAAGAGCCTGGTAAAGTAAAGAAAAATTCATTTTTCTGTTGGCGTCTGAATTTTTTTGTCTGAAAAATGATACATTTGTAGTCCTCATAATAATTAGATTATACACCCTCATACCTAGCTTGGCCAAGGGGGGTGCAACTTTTCTTATCAAATCTATTTTCTAATAAAAATATAAATCTTTCTCATGCATTTTCCCAATTTTTTGCTTTCAACAAAATAGAAAGCAATTTTTCCATTTATCAGTATTGTAAGTGTAGACATTGTGGAAAGTGTATCTATTAAATTAAGACAAATGTTATTGGAAATCATCTACAGGAGATATCATGCCTGTATATTTAGTTTTTTTGTAGGTAGCTAAAAAATATTTGCAGTTAGATCTGTGCTCAAACCCAATTGCTCGAAAATTTTCATATATCAAGCAGACAACATTGTCGGCTGATGAATAAAATTCGGTCACAGAACAGGAAATTTTAAGTTTTTGATGGCATCATTCGATGAATTTACGTCTTGAGTATGACTCTTATTAAATCTGGTTGGTAAATATTGCAAAATGTATTCGGAAAAATTGAAATTCTCTACTTTACTTAAGCATGCGTAAGACCTTCTGACCAAGCATTGCAGTTAGCTTAGGCACTTGCAGGTAGTGCCACTACCTAGGATCCCAACATCTGACAGGCATGGGGAGATATAATTAAAATACAAAGACAAAGGGAATTTCTGACTCACATTTCTGTATGTACAGTAAACTCAGTAAACTGCTGTGAATTTAACTTTTGCTATTATCTTTATTGAACATGACACTGACATGGCCATTACAGATACATATTGCCCCCACATAGTTACATTGTAACTTGTAGAACGCTATTCAGGTTAAGGTTACAGAACACCTTTGAGTGTTAATTTTGCCTAAGATATTTTTATTGTATTTTTATTGGTTTTCATGAACGCATGCATTAGACTAGTTCTACCATCTGACCAAATTTGAACGAAAAATGTTGAAAACTCGCAAAGCTATTTAATAAAATACATTTCGCTGCAATAAGAAAATCATAGGAAATGTAATATTCAAATTCAATTTTCTCCCAAGTAATTTCACAGCAATTACTGATTTTCAAACGAGTTGTTCTCTTACGGGTTTTAACGAATTTTTCTCAAATTTTCACTGGACATAGCTAAAGACGCCAGTTTCAAAATGGTGATTGGTGTTCGGCTTTTTTCTAATTTTGACATAATGAAGTGCAGCGATGTGGTTTTCATTCAGTGGGTCCAAAATCCCATTATCTTCCATGAAGTAGAAGATCTGGTAAAACAAACTCAATACTCCTTCATACACATCCCTCCACAGCCGTTCTATGCGCTGATTATGCACGCTTTTCCCTGTAATCATACTCCCACGATTTGGGCCTCTCTTCTCTACCATGTAATCTGCAACATATACATTCTCCAGTCCCTTGTCTGATCTTACCCGACTAGGAAGGCCATAAGAATCAACAGCTATCAAGAAACAATTTAATATAGTAGTTGCCTTGTTATTGCTTGTGCAATCTAGCATGACCGGAAGGCGACTGTACCCATCAATGCCTCCTATGATCACAAATGACCATCTCACTAACTTGTGGTTGGTGTCTATGTGCCATAAATGATTTGGCCCTTTGACATTGTACACCCGTCGATGTAACCGTCCACGTTTTCTAGAATTGACTCCATGACTATCAACTCGATGAATGCTTTCTCGTATCTTTGCTCTTGTAACTCTGATCCCTCTTTTGCAGACAATTTGTTTCACCAAATTTTCCCCACAGTAAGGGAACTCTTTAGTCACTTGTTGTACCTTAAAAGGGAAAATAGTTGCAAACCTGACCAAATTCCTTAAAATGTATTAATTCCTAGCAACAATGATACAAACTCCTAGTTATAATCACTATGCCTGTAAATAACTTACAATATATAACATAAATGTGACCCCGGCAGTAATTTGGGGATACTTTATTTTTACACAGTCAATTCCCCACCCCAGGGACAACATTCACAAACCATTATGCACCTATTAATGTTATCCCCAGAGGAGGGAGGGGGGTCAGGCATATGTGGGGTATTTGATCATCAAAATTGCATCCCCACCCTGGGGATTTTGATCAGCATTTTGGCCCCGAGTTGGGGCAATTTGAACCGAATGACTTTTATTGATATAGTATTTATTAAATTGCAATATGGTGGGGTATTGGACCAATATTTATTGCCTGACGGTGGGGCATTTGATTGAAAATTTTCTCAAAAAATCAAATACCGTACCCCACTTATGCCCCATCTGGGGTGTAACATTGATAGGTGCATTATTGCACACAAACATGTTATCAAAATTTCACAAATGTTGACCTTTGTAAGGCATTCACCATGGGACACAAGGACCAGATGCTCAACAAAACTCCCCAGGGATGGATATGGGAATCTGCAATCCTCCAGGGAGAAAGCCAGACCTCTAACCTCTCACACGTTCGGTGTGAGTCTCACGCAATTCGCTTCACTCTCACGGCTAATTTAGTAAATCTCACGCATATAGCAGTTTCATAGTATTTTTTTAATAAATATAATATTGTATTCTTAAATGCACATTTATATTATTCATTATACGGATTGCGAATTGAATATATAATCGCGTGTTATTCATGTTCGGATGTTCCTGTATATACGGCCTGACATTTTGCCCGCAATTTGGATACAAAATAGTACGCATATGTAAATATGGAGGACAAAAGGCAGAATCAGTTGGAGCAGAATTCTATATGTAAATTATCAAAGACTGAATTAAAGATCATTACTGTATGTCGCAGAAATACAGTTATTGTAACTAAAGTGCCTTGTCTTAAAGGACGTTATGAAGCAATGTATTTCATTAAAAAACACCAACTCTCATAATGTACGAAATGCCATTTCAGACCCCTGGCCCCGGACTTTTACAAAGGTGTCATCCACATCCCCAATCTCACTCTTAATGCACCTATCAATATTAATCCCGGGGGGTAAGGGTGCGGGCAATGTGTGGGAATTTGATCATGAATTCTATCCCCACAGACGGGCATTTGACAAAGATTTTTGCCCGGGTGCGGGCGATTTGCTATTCGACATAATTCAACATGCAATTTCAGTACAAAGCCTAGAATGGAGAAAACCGGAAGTCTGGAAACTTTTTATTTCCACTCAGCTGAAGTCTTCTGGCATTTTGGAATTTGAATACAGTACAGTCTGGATTCTGGGGATAAAATTTACGATGCCCAGACGCTTTTTGTGGCTCTTTATATTAAATGTTATATTTTGCGTTGATCTATCGCCTGGGTGCGTCTGTTTTGAAACATTTGATTATCTCAGAATGCCCCACCAGCGGACATTTGACTCAATTTTTTTGTCAAATCCCCACCCATTGCCCACACCATTACCACCCGGGATTAAAATTGATAGGTGCATAATGCACCTATCATTGTTTTCCCCCTGAGAGGGGGGGGGGGG